GGACTATTGAACGGTACCCCGGCCACACACTTACATTGCGAGCGCTCTGATGAGCGAGGACGGGGACAGACAGTCGGCGTGATCTGCAGGTTCGGACGGGGCGCTGTCAGACAGAACGCTATCCCAACTGCTCTCCTCGCAGCTATCCATGCATGCGCCAGCGTCGACGTCACTCCTGCAACACCTGCAGCATATATAGTGTATATTATGTATATTGTATATGTATAGTGAATGTATATGTAATATGTATAGTATTTATATGTATATATTATGTATATTGTATATGTATATTGTATTGTGTAGTGTATGTGTATGCGTATGCGTATGTCGTATGTGGCGTATGATGTATGTGTATGTATATGTATAATGTATATGTATATGTATATGTTATTATGTATATGTATATGTATATATTATCATTTTATATGCTATAATGTATATGTATATGTATATGTGTATGTATAGTATATGTATATGTGTATATGTGTATATGTATATGTAATACTGTATATAGTATATGATATGTAGTATGTATATGCGCATATGTAATGCAGTATGTTATGTATATGTATTATGTATATGTATATGTATATGTATATGTATATGTATATGTAATATGTAATATGTACACGCATATAAAAAATAATTGCTAGTTATAACTTGTTAATTGTAACTGTCAGCTTTATTATGATTACCCGCAGTGACTGCAGAATCATAAGCAATTATAATTAATACGTTATAATTAATAGTTATTTGATGGTTTCAGCTCTGGCGTCGTTGTTTATATCCTCTCAAAATAATCACGTCTAAGAACGCGCCCTCGCACGCACGTACACACTCACTCACGCACGTGTACGCTAGACAACACACGCGCACAGCACCGCATGCACGCAACGCACGCGACTGCACGCACGCACACACACACACAACTGGCCACACACACACATACACACATACACACACAGACACACATACTACGCATACTATAGATTTTATTAGGGTGAATGAGAGTCTGCAGTGGCTTTATTGTAGCGACTGACAGATTCGTTACGTTGCCACAATCAACATTACGACCTTGTCGCGGTCGGGCATTTTATGGTCTGATTCAAACTCAAAGGTCAAATTAAAACCCTGCACTTGATTCAATTACCTCGGAGAGTCGAGCTGTCATAAACGCTCGTATTTTTTCCCCGCGCGTCAGGCATTAAATTTTGCGTGGGTATGTACGTCCCCGATCTATGACCGTTCACCGCTAATAACCAGTTTCTTCACGCACGCAATTTTGTCGACTGTTACATAATATATTACCGCCGCACCTCGTTCCCCCTATAGTTCCCCCATGCGACATTTCCCGTACAATAACTCTTCAACGGTGTCGAACCGATGCCGCGTACAGAGCCAGCCATGCACCTCTAGCCACACCGCAGCATGTAGCCACACCGCAGCCTGAACATCAATATCTAACTCGACATGAATATCGCATGTTCGGTAAAGGTGCAAAGAGTGTGAAAGGGTCACACATATCCTGCGGTGAAGCCTGTAGCCACACCGCAGGATATGTGTGACCTTTTCACACTATTTGCATCTTTACCGAACATGCGATATTCATGTTGAGTTAGATATTTATGTCGATGTTACATCCGAATGGCAAAGCGTATCTAGCACCGAGGTCTGGCTGGTTCTAGAAACCAGCCGACTGTGCAATGACATCGTATGATGTGTCAACCTATGGTTGAGCCTACCTATGGTTGTGTCTACCTATGGTTGTGTCTACCTATGGTTGTGTCTACCTATGGTTGAGCCTACCTATGGTTGTGTCTACCTATGGTTGAGCCTACCTATGGTTGTGTCTACCTATGGTTGTGTCTACCTATGGTTGAGCCTACCTATGGTTGAGCCTACCTATGGTCCAGGTTGTGTCTACCTATGGCTGTGCCTAGCGAAATCCTCGTGTCAACAGTGCATATAGGCAATAGCCTATAAACCCTTATTATGTGACCCTTGGTATATATATGGCCCGGATGTAAACTGGTTTTACATAATCTGACTTGTTGTTAGCCGTGTGCGACTTTCTAAGAGGTTTACGAAAATACTCTCTCTATCGCTCCCAACTCGTGCGTAGCAAATATACGTACGCACGCATACGCACACGCACGCGCACGCACATGCATACGCACACATACAGGCACACGCACGCGCGCACACACGCGCACGCGCGCACACACACGCACACATGCACATGCATGCACACGCATATTGGCCGAGTGTGTGTGAGGCAAACGAGCGAGAGAGCGAGAAGCGAACGAGCGAGCTGGTACGCGACAGCGTATGAATGGGTTGGAGAGATCACTCAGCACTGCTTCCTGGGTGCGTTGGCACCGGGTACTGTTGCTCTTTGCTCTCTGCTAGTACCTGAAAACACAGCTGCTAAGTTTCTCTCTCTCTTTCTCTTTGTTTCTCTCTTTATTTTTTTTCTCTTTCTCTCTCTCTCTCTCTCTTTCTTTCTCTCCCTCTCTCTCTCTCGTTATCTCCCTCTCTCTCTCTCTCTCTCTCTCTCTCTCTCTCTCTCGTTCTCTCTCTCTCGCTCAATCTCGCTCTCTCTCTCTCTCTCTCTCGTCCTCTCTCTCCCTCTCCTTCCCTCTCTCCACCTCTCCTTCCCCCCTCTCTGTCTCTCTGTCCTCCCTCTCCTCTCCTCTCTCCCTCTCTCTCTCTCTCTCTTTCTCTCTCTCTCTCTCTCGTTCTCTCTCTCTCGCTCAATCTCGCTCTCTCTCTCTCTCTCTCTCGTCCTCTCTCTCCCTCTCCTTCCCTCTCTCCACCTCTCCTTCCCCCCTCTCTGTCTCTCTGTCCTCCCTCTCCTCTCCTCTCTCCCTCTCTCTCTCTCTCTCTCGTCCTCTCTCTCGCTCTCTCTCGTCCTCTCTCTCCCTCTCCTTCCCTCTCTCCACCTCTCCTTCCCCCCTCTCTGTCTCTCTGTCCTCCCTCTCCTCTCCTCTCTCCCTCTCTCTCTCTCTCTCTCGTCCTCTCTCTCGCTCTCTCTCGTCCTCT